AAGGACCTTGCAAACATGCAAAGGCGCGTCTTTAAATCTGACCCAACGGTGATGGGGATGACTGACGCCCTCTATCAAATGCAAGGAGGATGTTACCCTGATTTCCTCCACGGAGAAAAAGGACTCCACGCTTCACAACGCCAGTACTGAAAGCCGTGTTCGGTCAGTATGCAAAGGCGGTGCAGATGGACGGCACGTACCGCACTAACCGCCACGGTTTTGTGTTATACCACATAGTCATCACTGACAAGCATGGTCGGGCGCAGTCGGTGTTCTACTCATTCATATACGGAGAAACGGCCGAAGAAATCGAATGGGTCGTTCGTAAATGTAAGGAACTGATAAGTGCTGCCACCAAGGAACGGTTTTTATCGACAAGGATTCCAAAGAAATACGAACCTGAAGTCGTATTTTTCCAGAAAATGAAGTATCCATTTTATTTTGTACTTTCCATGCACTTCAAGCTTTCCGGCGTAAAGTCACTAGACTCTACTGCAAATAGGTAGCTGACATAGCCATGTATTTTGGCAGGAAGGCTGTGAGAACCCTGAGTCTTTCAGCGTATAAGTCTGTGATACGGCACATAGAAATTAATTTTCCGGGACTATGGCCCTATCTCCAGGAAAATTGGTTGACTTGTAGGCGCATCATGCTCGTGCACGTGTTGTAACCTATGGTGACAACACGACGAATAAGACCGAGAGTCTTAATCGAGTGCTCAAGCAATGGTGCAAGCCCTATATGAGCATGACGGACGGTGTAAACAGTCTGGTGACCTTTCTCCAGTCAAAAGAGGTTGTCAATGAGATAATGGAGGCCGATGAATACTGCCGCCGCAGGCAGTATAACGATTGCCCCAGACATGTTGCAGCAATAGGTCAGAGGCTGACAACATACGCATCACATGTTTTTCTTAGACATCTTGCTGCAAGCAGAGGGGTAGAGACTAGCAGTGAATGGGTGGACACGTGTAGATGTGGGTTCTTTTTGAACTGAAAACTACCATGTGTCCACACAGTCAACTGCATAGCCTCCAAAGCAGCTGAACCTCAGCTCGCCTTGACAAACTGCAGATGGCTAACCGCTCCCGCTTGACTTTGTACGGATGGCCGGGCGGATGACTCATGGTCGTGAGTTCAAAGAAGTCTTCGGATTTGAGCGAACATTCATGCCCGTGGATAATGCGGAACGTCCATAACAGGTCACACCTCATGTGTCTGTAGGATAGGGGGAACAAGTTTAGCTGGATCAGTCTTTATGGGTATGAGTCGCCACTCCCTTATCACAGAATAATTGCTGAACATCGTTTGACATAATTGACAGTCCCCGATCAGTTCGGATGTACTAAGGAGTATCTAATACGGTGAAGAGATGTCATATACATCGGCAGTTCGATTAGGACAGGCAGACGCAAATGAAAAAAACCTGAGTATTCATCCATTATCGTTAGTAGATGAGGATTGTGGGTCATAAACGGAAGTTAACCGTCGAAGCGGGATTTGTTCTAACAACGGGTTTAGCATCTAGCGGCAACGTTGCAAATTTCCTTTATCGAAAAGGAGAGACTTTTGACTCTTACAGAATTCGCCAGCCGATAAATCGGGCTGGTCGTCATTACTCGACAAGCCTTCACAACAACTGCGAGGAGGTGTATCTGCCGCGAGGTTTGCATTCACCAGGTCAGTAAACGAGGTCGAATTTGAAGGGCGACAGCTCCAACCTCCGGCGTTCGACCTCATCATTCTACACTCTCCTTTTGTAGATAGCCGTAGGTACAGCCAGTAGAACGCTAATCTGCATTGAGTATAAAATGATTACTTTGGTGAAAATGCATCTATTTTCGTATGGATTCCACTACAGCACCTGCTTCTTTCTCGATAGCAGAATGATGTCACCCATTGAGAGGAGACTGAGCGAGATGAAGTTCCATGTTCGGCTCTTGTGTGACAGCAATTCCGAGGTCTGAATCGCCAGTTTTGACAGTTAGTGGGGTATCATACTGATTGTGGCCTTCACAAGTTCTTTATTAATGGCCTCAAATGCCTCCGCTACTTCTAATATTAAGAGCGAAGGTTTTATCGCGAGTGGGCAGACAAATTTTATTGGAGGAATGCGATATCTGTTGGTAATAGCAGACGAACAATTCCACAGCTCGTTGTTGTGACTCTAGGTCATGCAAGGGAGTCATTTCACGAAAAGGCCTTAGGCGATTGGGATGCAGTCTAGTGTTGCCCTTGGACACCTCGAAGCTTTGTGTGCTTAACAGCGATGACACTTAGCTTCATTGGAGGTCAGTCCGTATCTTACGGCCATGTTAGAAAGTTTTCAAAGGCTTTAGTAATCCTCGGCGAGGCCTTCTACTGATTAGCGCTTTACCCGAGACACCCAGAGTACACCCGTTATCTTTTCCCCTACAAGTTGACCACACAGACATGATTGAAACAGCTTCCAGGCGTTCAAAGCTCGGCCTTCACAGAACTTTCATTCCGCTTTATCCTACACATCACGTCGGTGCTGAAACCAGCTGAGTTTCTGTGGGTCAGCGCGTCTGAAATAGGGTGAAGTGGCTTTTTGTGCAGTGGGGGCATCGTTGGTGAAGGTGCTTTGCCCGAATCCCTCAATCTCCGAAACAAGGACGAGCGGTGCCGTGATGTTGCAGTAGTAGCCCTGCGGTTTTATTTGAGTGCGCGCGCGCGCAGAAGCGGCGAGCCAGGACGACGTTCGCGACCAACCAGTGCGAGTTCCGAGAAAGCGACGCGTATAGTCTGCGTACAATTGAGAGCACTTGGGGGCTGGTCTGTGGTAACTAACTTTATGCTGTTGCCTCTTTAGGGGGCCAATGATTTAGGTGGAGAGGAGGCCGGTTTAGGGCATAAAGTTGTTTTGTACGTGAACGAGAGGGGATGTTAATCATACGTGCAAGTGGT